AACGACCCCTCAACTTCACCGCGCACTACACCTGGCGCTGCCGCGGTCCCACGTGGTCAGATCGCGGGCACCACCTCGGGGCGTCGCCGGTAGGGCTCTGCGTCCTCGGCTTGTGGCCCGCGTCCCTCCGGTCCCGCAGCCGCCGTCAGGTCGCCGGGCTCCGCCTGTTGCGCGGCCGGGGCTCGGCAATCGGCCGGAATCGGCTGGAAGAGGGCGCGTCGGGAGGCGGCTCCGCTCAGGGCATCCCCGGGGCGTTTCCAGCCGGGAAGCCCTTCCTTCCTTCCTCGAGAGGAGGCGCTTTCCTGGCAGATGTAAGTGCTTCCCGGGCCGCCTGCTCCGCCTCTTCGCTGTTCCCCTCCCTCCCTAGGCCGCCGCGGAGCCCGCGCCCCGCGACAGTTGCGGCAGGAAGGAGCGCGCCCAGCCTCGTCCGCAGCACTGGCCGGGCGGTGCGGGGTGCGGAGCTGCAGACCGCGCCGGTGCCGGTACCCGGGCTGAGGCCGGGGCCGGGGGCACCTCCTGCTCGCGCGCCTCTCTGGGCACCCGACCTCCCGAGGTACCCGGGCTGGCGATCCAGCAGAGCCGCCTGCAGGGGCCGCGCGAGCGGAGCCGCCTTTCGCATTGCGGAGCTCTCTCTCCTCCGCCCCTGTCGTCCGGGTGTCTCCCGTCCCGGCGGGGGCGTCCCGAGCCGTTAGCCTGATTGCACCTGCCCGGCACCGAGGGTTGAGAGTGGCGGAAAGCCATTTCCACCCTGGGGTGACCCTGGGGCCCGGTTCACCGAGGGCGCAAAGTGTGTGGCGTGTTCTTTGGTTCTCCTGTGTGGACTTGTGGTTCGCCGGAGGGAGGGAGGGAGACCAGACAGGTCGGAAAGCTTTCCCGTCCCTTGTCAGGGATTTGCTTAAACGATTTGCATAACCCTTCCAATAGAACTGCAGAAGTTAACTCAGTTGGCTACTCGCAAACCCTCAGGTAAACAGGAAGCAAGTCTGTTCCTGAACACCTGCCCTCTTGGCTGGAGGTGTGATCCTGGAGCTCTGCTGAGCCCTCAGGCTGGGGACGTGGAACCCTTGGCTTTGGGCTCCCTTTCGGTGCTCGATGGTGAACATCTTAAGCACATGGACTCATGCTTGGTGCGTGTGCAGCGAGTAGAAGATGAAATTTCCATTCCCAGGGAATCCTGTTCTTCCTTCTGTCAGGTTATTTCCACCTCCTGTTCTAATACTAAGTGTCTTATTTCAGGGTTGTAAGGTTGCCTGATGGGGCTCTGGTGGGAGTGATGCTGGGGTACCTAGGAACCCCGAGGCCAGAGCTTGTTGTGAAAATTCTCTAAGGCCTTGTGAGGTCTTCTCAGCTCAATCTGGTGACCAGACGCTTTATTTGACGGTGGGCCATGCCCTGCCTTGAGGGCTCCATGCAGTCTTTGCTGGTTCAGGAAACACTGAAAACATCGTGCTCTGAACCTCAGGGGGTTCTTCCCCTTCTCTCCTCTGCCTTCTTTTGGGAGTGCAGCCCTGGTGGTCTGTAGTGTGTTTTACCCTTCAGGTGACCCGTGCCCGAACACTGCCTCCTCTGTTCTTCCCCAGATCTCAGACTGCCCTATGCTTGGCATTTGGGGTTGGAATGTGTACTAGCTTTGAGAAAGCAGGCTCCTTGGGCTTCTGTTTTCTTTTCTTTTTTTTTTTCTCCTCTCTCTTTCTTTTTATGTAGCTATAATGCAGCGGCTGCCTGCAGTGTGGTGTATGCTAAGCTGAGCTAGGTAGTTTTCCAGGTAGCCCTTGGTCCTTGCAGCAACCCCTTGAAGAAGTGAGAATTGGGCCCCTTCCTGCAACGTTGATATGGAAACCCTGGGCTCATCCTGGGCCTCAAGGATGCCGAGGCAGTCCCAGTGGAGGTGGTCCTGTGAATCAGTGGCAGTGGCCACTGCTTATAGGGAGACATCAGGACAGCAGATGAGGGCCTAGGACCTGAGTTCCAGCTCTAATTTCTGCTTCTCTGTGCCTCTGACCCGACAGAGGTCACTTTGCTTTTCTGGGCCTTGTCTGTTTAATTATAAGGATCAGGGACTTGAATCTCTACTATCTCTAACCTTGCACTAGACACTAAAGCTAAAAACTTTTCCATGTATTAACTCATTTCAACCTGATGAGAGATGTGAGAGGTGAGTTTGTATTGTTATCTACTTTAGATGAGGAACAGAGATGGAGTAACTTACACACGGACACCTACTTAGGAAACCATGAAGCAGGGATACTGTCGAGCACTTAATGCTGTGAGTTTCACCCTTTTATACCTCCTATCTCCAACACTGTGCCTCTTGGTGGTAGGCTCTTGACTCAGTTTATTGACAGTAGCAGGGAGAGGTGGCCTGCAATTATCAAGTGACTTCCAGGATTCTGTTTCAGTCCTCCAGGAGCCCTGAGGTCTGTGTTAGAAAACTGTTCTCTCAGCCTCTTAAAGTCACCTGCTTCTGAATGGAATCCTGCCCAGCTTATTAGAAAGAAAGGAAGATCAAACCTAAAGATCACTGGCCAGGCTAACACTGCAGTTTCTACCAGAAAATGTGTTTATTAAATGAGGGACCTAGAAAACTCACAGGACACATTGCCTTAGAGTCTACTCTCTCACCAGCTGGACAGTGAACACTGTGTGTTTACCGTGTAGGTGCTAGGTGTGTGGTACTATAAGGACCCAGAAACTTTGAGGGGAGGCTTTAGGCTTGAACTTGTACTTTTGGAAACCCAAGAGAAAAAAGCACAAGACAGGGCATGCATGCAAAAAAAAAAAAAAAAAAAGACAGGGCATGCAAGTTGGGCATGGTGGTGTGTGCCTGGAATCAGCGTCGTTCTGGGAGGCAGAGGCAGGATGAAAAGCTGGAGCCCAGCTGGGGCAACTTAGTGCCTATCTCACAATAAAAATTAAAACAAGGACTGGGCATGTAGCTCAATGCGAAGGTCCTGGCTACAATCAATCCCCAGTACTGAAAGAAAAAACAAGATAATACAGATGCTAAATGTTTATTTCCTGATAAAAGTCAGGTGTGCTCACTCTCTTTGGATGCCTGCAGAGCCTTAGATTTTGAGGGGGAATAGTGTGTAAACATTGTCTGCAGTGATGCAAGTACTGAGTGATAAAAGGTTATGATTTGCTTGCTTTTAGCCAAGAGCATTGCATTTAAGCCATGGATGTTTATAGTTGCAAGCCTCAGTGTGGCTTGCTGAAGCTCCCAGTGAGTGATGTGGGCTGCTGGTTGTCTGCTGAGCCCCTTACTGCGAGTTCATCCAAATTTATTTAAGTGCCTTGTAAGGAGCAGTATGTGCAAGGCTGGTAGTGTGGATGGGAAAAGAAGTTACCAAGAGTCAAGCTAGATAGAAAAGTTAAGAGTTTACTGATTCATTGCAAAAGAATGCGAGCGAGTTCTAAGAGAGGACTGTGGTCAGGGTGGCAGATGGGACTTTATAAAAGTTTGAGGATAGGAGAGGGGATGAGTTGACTGAAAAAAATGTCCCTGGTGGCTTTCTTTGGGCTGGCACTCATCTCATGGGAACCCCTGTTTGTGTTGAGCTGCATAGGAAAGGAGCCTGTGTGGTGCGGCCCATTCTGCTGGTCCTTGTGGAAGGCTCTGCAGTCTGGGATTGAGAACTTCAGTGAGTATCAGGCATGAGACAAGGGTCTCAGAGGGATCAAGGCCTTTGGGAAGAGATACACACTTTTCTGTGTGCATAGTTTAGCTGTGCAGAAGGTTGTGCCAACTCAGGGGAAGCTGGCTGTAGGAGAGTCTAGAATTATGGTAACCGTAGAGCGAGTGTTCCCTGACGGCTCAGCCTTCCCACTAATGGCCAGTGGATAGAGGATGGAATACATACATGCAAACATCCATCAGTTAGGGAGGGCAGAAGTGTGGGAGAAGCTCCAGGAAGCCCTTGTTTTTTTTTCGGAACCGGGGATTGAACTCAGATCCTTGCATTTGCCAGTCAAGCGCTTATCCTACTGAGCCATCTCCCCGGCCCCAAGCCCTTGTTAAAGAAAAGACATTTCCTTCTGAGAGCTGGAAAGGATCCATTATGGAGAGGATGGAGAAGGAGAAGCCCAGGCTGAGGATTCTAGCAGGAGTGAGTATGGCACTTTGGGAGAGCTTGGGAGAACCTGGGGGGGGATGTTGGGAGACCTTGAGGGACTGTGGAGATGGTTGTAGCATAGTCTCAGGCCAAGTTCAGGGTCTTAGGGTCTATCCAGAAGGTGGTAGGAACAAGTTAATGGAGTTGCAGTAGAGGCACGTTGTGAACCTATTAATATTTACGTAGTCATTTTTCTGTAGCTTTATTCTGCATTTCAGTTAACTGGTCACCAGCTGCCATTCAAAAATATTAAGTGGAAAGTGCAGTGTCAATAGCTAAAGTACATCATTCTGAGTAGCAGGTGTAATCTCATGCTGTGCTCGCGTTTCTCAAGGGACACGATGCTCCCTCGGCCAGCGTGCCCGGGCTCAGTCTGCTGCTTGCCTGCTAGTGGGTTAACAGTGCCTGGGTTAGCAGATCAACAGCAGAGCTCTTGTGCACGCATGATCCTCAGTTTGCTGAGCACGGGCTCCAGAGCTCAGAAGGAGCGGTGATGGCAATTTAGATCTGCCAAAGAGAGGCTATGGAGTACATGGTGTAGTTGGAGATTATGGGCTGTATCTAAATTAAAATAAACTGATTATGGCAGGAGACACATCACCACAGATTCCCCTCAGGATGTTCCCCCTTGCTGCAGACACACCGATCTCATCTTTTGTGCCGCTTTCTGAAGCAGTTCTGGAAGTCCTCCGGCAGGGGTGTGCTTAGTCGTGTCGCTGTGGCTGCCTCAACGTGCTGGACTGATTCAACAGACCTTTCATGGTCACTTTGAATTTGGGGAGGATTCAGAAGTTGCCTGGTGCCGGATCCAGTGAGTTAGGTGGGTGAAGCCACAGTGTCATATTTTTACGAGCTTGCTGTTCTGTTTAAGGACATTTGGCAGCAGGATTCACAGTATTTTGGCCCACATCTTGTAAAAACGTAAAAGAAGACTTGTAGAACTGCTTCAGAGAGTAGCAAGAGCAATGGAGGAGTGTACTTAAAGTGAAGGGAGTGTTCTGAGGAAGAATAAAGGTGATGTGTATACTACTATAAAACATTTTTATTTTTATTTGTTAATTTTTTTTTTTTTTTCAGTACCAGGGATTGAACTCAGGGCCTATGCTTGCCAGGCAAGCACTTACTCTACTGAGCTATCTCCCCGGCCCATGTAATACATTTTTAAAATTTACACTTGTACTGTATATTTTGACCATCTC